CACAGGCACACGCGCACGCGCACGCGCACGCGCAAGCGCACGCGCACGCGCACGCGCACGCGCACGCGCACGCGCACGCGCACGCACACGCACACGCACACGCACACGCACACGCACACGCACACGCACACGCGCACGCGCACGCCCACGCACACGCACACGCACACGCACACGCACACGCACACGCACACGCACACGCACACGCACACGCACACGCACACGCACACGCACACGCACACGCGCACGCCCACGCCCACGCGCACGCGCACGCGCACGCGCACGCGCACGCGCACGCGCACGCGCACGCGCACGCGCACGCACACGCACACGCACACGCACACCCACACACACACCCACACACACACACACGTATTACAGTACGTATTACACACACATCGTACACACACAAATCACACACAAATCACACACAAGGCAACCATGCACATCACACACACACATACTCACACATCACACACAGAGACATCACACACAGAGACATCACACACACACACGGAGACGTCACAGACAGAGACATCACACACACAGACATCACAGACACATAACATCTCACATCACACATGCAACGTCACACATCACACATCACATATTTCACATCACACATCATACAGCATTGTCACATCTTGCACATCGCATCTCACACATCACACACACACAACACACACATTAAAATACTCGCACACTCACAACACGCACACACACACACACACATCAACTCACACACACACACAAACACATCACATCACACACACAAACACACACGCACACATCACATCACAAGCATCACATCAGACAAACACACTCCTCATCACACACACACGCGAACATCACATGAGACACGCACACACACTTCACGTACACACACACTCACATCACACAGGCACACACACACATGTCGCGAACACACACACACACACACATCACATCACATCACATCACTTCACATCACATCACATCACATCACATCACATCACACACACATTGCACACACACACACACATCGCACACACACACACACACACATCGCTCACACGCACACATCGACGCAGAACTTGGGCTGTTGAAACACAATTGGATTCGGACACAGAGCGCATGTTCTCAATGTTGCTTCTTTCATTCATTGTTTGGGGGTCGTGCCCTGAATTCTGACATCTGTTCAGCGATGCCAGGACCATCCAACTATGACAGCAACTACGCCACACTTTTCAGCCAGAGCAACAAGGAGACGTTGCACCAATCATTTATGATGCGCCGGGGGGCATTGGGGGTAGACCACATCATGGGCCTCAAGTGGCCCGAGGACGAAACCCTTTGTGTGCGGCACCGAGTGGCCAAGAGAATCTCATCCAGAGTGACAGAATTCGGATGGGAATCCCACTAAACGATATCACACAATGCGTTGTTTCGTTGTTTTGCTTAGCATGGCGCGGGCTGTGCCGGATGAAGGTGTCCTGGATGTTCTGTTCTGACTTGTGACGTGGGTCCAACTTGACATGGTACTCTGCAAATTGACATGGATCCTTCCTGGGCTCCTCCAAGAGAAGCTTCCTGAAGAATGACTAGGCCGTTCATGGTGAGAACCCCGCCAGTTTTGGCTGCCGTCCAAAAGGACCCTGCGCTCCGATAGGTGGGCGCACGCCCATGAACAAGGGAATCGATATGCAGCTTGTTGATAGTGCTAGTATTTAGCGGGCATGTCTGTGTGTACATACATACACAACTATATACATCTTTATGTCTATGTACATATAAATATATACACATACAAAAGTTTTGGTTTACCTGCATATATACATGCACATAGAGACATAAACATGCATGTGTGTATGTATGTATATGTATATATATATACATATATGTATATATATATATACATATGATATGTGTATGGAAATGTGTTTCTATGTTCTACATGTTAGACATCGGAAACAACTGAGTCGGACGCGGAGGTGGCTTTTCCGGGGGTGGCTAGAGGGGTTGTGGCGCAATGGCAGCGCACCTGTGCACTTTAGTGCGCAGGAGGTTGCAGGTTCGAGTTCAGGAACCAACGGGATCTGGCTATTGTGCCAACCCCTGCATTAATCGCACCCAAAGAATGTCCTTTTGCCGCCGGATGCATGTTATGAAAAATATGTACACAAATGTACGGTGCCAGGAGGAGAACTCTGGCTTCTGCATGGCCGCGGAGGAGACAGGGCACCGTAAACGCGGGCGGATTCAATGAGTCTTTTTGTGCACATCCTGAATGTTCAACTCTCAAAGAATAGGGAAACATGGAGGTCAAGCAGTTTTCGGGTTGGAAAAACTGCCCCCGCCCCCCCCGCCCAAGATTCTCCGCCTTCGAGTGGCCTTCGTTGGCAGGACTTTCCAACGCTTTGAGCGGGAATCATGTTCTGTTGGACAGCAGGATTTAGCGGGTGGCTAGACCCAGGCGGACACACAGGAAACCGGCCGAATTATCAGACAATCGGCCAACCAAAAGTGAGACACAGATTGGTAAATCAGCGGAGCGTCCGATTTCAGAGATCTAACCCCACCTGGGACTTGCGACACGTCGGCTGTCCAACGGTTTCGTGTCACTTTGAGCGCTTTAATTAGAGGCAGGGTTGCTCCGCCCACATGCAAGGCTCCAGGAGCAACCCTGTGAGCTCACGACCAGAATTTGCGAGGCTAAGGCGATGGGTGCGAACCTTTTTGGCAAAGCACTCATGGGGGGGTCACAAGGGCAACGTTCTCAGCAATCCCTTCGGATGCTTTGCGTTTTGGCAACGAACGGTCTTCTCACTCCTGGCCAGTGTTTGACCGTGTGTTTGACAAGATGTTTGCTTCTAACTTTAGCCCCAGGTGCGTCAATCTTTGCGAATCTTGTTTGCCAAGGCCCGTTGAATTGCCTGGTGCGAGTCTCTCTTTGGGATGGCTCCGTCGAGCCATTTTGGCCGGAGAGCCGAAGACGGCTGTGGGAAGCCGCCTTTTGCCTCCGCCTTTAGACTGGCGGGATATGCCGCGATAGAACTGGGATCCCCTTCAAGTAATAGGGTTTTCTCAAAAATACGTTTGGGTGTGGTCCCCCCTTAACCCACCATGTAGAGGTTGTTTTTGGGGATGTCAGTTTAGTGGACCCAGCAAAAGCGCACGTTGGCCCTCAAAAAAAGGGGTGCAAAGCGCACGTTGGCCCATGGTGCTTTGCTGCAGGAAGGAGCAAGGTTGGGTTTGGTCAAGGTAAGGTTGCCAGCCATTTTGGGAGTTGGGCAGAAGTTGACCATCCGCTTCCTCCAAGTGGACGCTGCACAAACTTCTTGTCAGGTGCTTTTTGCAACGGCAGGTGGGGGCTTTGAGGGGTGTTTCCACCCTGCAGCTTTTAGTTACACGAGGATAGACTTCTTCGAGGGAGCTCTTTCCCAGGTTCCATGCAAGAAAACAGCTTGGAGGATCAAATTCGATGTCAATTAACGCGGGGTAGACTCCTGCCTCTCCGCGCTAATTGTGTTTGACTGAGGCTTATGCTACTAGTGGGGCCATGAGAACTGGTGGCGGGCATCCTTGTGCGTTGCTTTGAGCATTTGCACATAGGTGGATGTTTGATTTTGGATTTCGTGTGGTGTTGCGATCCTGCTATAATGTGTCCATGACCGTGGCCATCTCAGCTTAGTCCAAGCACGGCTTCTGAGTGCGTGCAGAAAAGCAACACATGATCGTCTAACTTGGATATGCTTGTCCTTAGGCTCATGTTCCTATTGGCGTGCAGGCCAATCCAAAGACACGAAATGCAAGTTCAAGCAAAGAGACTTCTACGCTAGAAGCGCAACAACTTAGTCCAGATCCACCCTCTTGACAATTGACTCGCATCCATGTTTTTTTCGTGGTTCTCATTTTTTGTGGCTGAAGGAAAACCACCATTGTGGGGGTCCCCTAAGAAAAGGCACACCCATTCGGCATTTGTCGGAGAAATGGATGCATTCTTACTTGTTTTACACAAAACGGACTCCTGGCATTCGATCGCTGTTCCGGATCCTGGCTTTCTGATGGAGTCGGGGGCGCCCAGCATGTAAGTCTTATTGGTGGACACAGATCTCCCAAATGTGCAAAGGGTTCTCTCACTATAGTTTGGGTTCGTCCCTCTTGACACATTGTCAGGAACTGGTGTTTTGCTCGAAAGGCTCCCGGAGCGTGACTCGCAACGAACCTTTTACTGATGACACGCTTCCTGACATTATCGTTCATTATCCGCAACACTCAGCCAGCCGAAGCCAACCTAAGACGGCTTGCAAAAAGATAACACGCCGGTATGGCACATCAGGCCAATGTCAAGGGATTTCCATGCAGAGTGTTGAGTGGAGTTAGAGTTGAATGAAGCCACCCGCCACAATACCAACCTCAGTGCCAAAGATCAAGCCTGGAGATTCCGGAAATCGGCTTAATCCCGTTTCTACAGGAACGGGGCCGTGTCAGAAATAGGTTTCATGTTTCCTTTTGGAATCCCCGATTGCGCAACCTCATCCATGAGTGGGTTCATTTCGGCTCCTTTCTATTTTCAGGTTGACTACAAGTCAACCAGAATGCAAAGTCGCCCTGTCTCACAGCAAACAAGATGAACTGGTTGGTGAATGTGCGCAGTTCGCGTAGAAACTGGGTTGCTCAACATCAATCCTTAATCCTCAGTACCCATGTTGAACAACCCACAAAGAGTTCCTCGATCAACATCTCTTTGTTTGGGCCCCGGTGTTTGTTGGCATCCTTAAGCCGTTCTCCAAATGACTCTGGGCCGTTCAAAAACCTTGTCTTGGGTTGTGAAAAGCCCCTGTGTGGTTTCCCCATTGGTGTCAAAAGTTGGGGGGATCGCAAAAATGAAGGTTCTCCTTTTGACTTTCCCTTTAAACTAGCCCCAAGAAGGGTAAGCCTCAAAACCACCACACGCCCAATAGGGATTGCCGTTTTGACCGGAGACGGCCTGAGGCTCTGCTTGCCGGGGGACGAGGTTCCGCTCAACGGGGCCCAGCCAGGCGCTGTCGACTTGGATTCGCTTGGTGTTTCTCTTCATTTGCATTTCTCTTTCTTACTGTCTTTCTATTGACATCTGTTCCTCTCACACACCAATCCATCACGTCGGCGATGCTTGGTGGGTGGTTTTCAAAGGGAGAGGGCAGCCGATCGCATTTTGGGGAATACCCAGAGCATGAGGGACCATGTTCTTCTGGCACGAGGTTGAGTCCTCTTGTTTTCCGACCCCGATTGCAAGTGATTCGTGGCTCTTCCCATGGCCAACCTTTGGTTGCATGCCATGACAGGAGGTTTGCACAACAAACCCAGCGACTTTTTGTCCCGGCAAGTCGCAAAGCGGGTTGATTCAAGAGTTCGTGATGGTACAAAGGCCAACCAGTCTCAGACATTTCCACACGTTGAATTGATTGGCGAGGATACCGTACCGGACATTTTTTTTTGCATCTCAGAGTCCATGTGCTTCATTTGGGTTCGTTGTGTCACAATCCTTTGGAGTCTCTAGCTGGAAGGGCGCAGAGTCTCGCGCGGCGTCATGGCAATTGCAGTTGGCCGTTTTAAACGGGGCCCCAATTTTTGGTACCTTGTAAGAATCTGAACAAACATGCGGTTTCTGCACACGGAGTGGGTTGCCGCTATTTCAGGCCCTGACAAAGGCATGGCAACAAGGAAAGAGCAAGTCCTGTCCAGCCTGGCCAAAAAAGCGGTCGTACATGTGTCACCAGGAGCACAACAAGCCATCCGCGGGGGTTGTCTTTCTCCTTTCGGGACATGGACACCGCAGGTTTTTTGGCTATGTGCCGCATGCATGGCGCGCGCCATGCGCTCCAGGGCTCGGGGTGTCGCTGGACTCGGAGGGCCGCGCCTTTGCGAGCACCGCGGGGGTGCTGAGGTGGGGGCTGGGGTTTTGGGGTCTTGGGGTTTTGGGGTTTTGGGATTTTCAACCAACCCCAAACAAGGACAACACCAACCCCTTATGTCAATTTCTTGGTCGGGGGTATTGCCTTTTGAACTCCCCTTCAACCCTTTTGCCCAAGAAGGGCACCGAGCCACTCAAACATTCCCATACGCGGGAGACTTCTCGCAGGATCTCGGAGGAGGTGCGAGTAGAGAACCTGCGGAAGCGGTACGTGCCCCGGAAGGCGGGAACTCGATGCTCCTTTCCTCGTCACGACATAAATGGGTGTGTCCTTTTGCAGCCCCTCAAAATGGTGAGTTTCCTGTTGGTTTCCCTTTAAACCCATAAAAATACAGGGTACTCTCCAAAAAGAGCCACCCGAATCGCAGGGTCCCGGGTCCGACGGGCCTTCTTGTTTGGGAAACCATCCACCTAGGAGCCGGGGGGGGGGGGGGGGCAGCAGTCACAAAAGTGAAGGATTCTTACTCAGAAGGGACGCGCCTGGAATCAATCAACCGGATTTCTTAACCCGGGGTTAACATTGCCCTCCCTCCGAAAAATGGAAGCCAGGCCGCCTGAGGTCTTAAGGGGCTCACCAAGCCATGTTCTTGGGGGGTGGATCGCTTTTTCCTTTCCGACGCAGCTGGGTGCCGAAAGCCCTTGACCCCCCCAAGTTTGATGTCCACGTTCAGGCCAGAGATAGCACTTGAGCATAGGTGCCGTGATGCAACAGCCTTTCTCTGAGATCCTTCACTTCCACTTGAATGGCAGCATTTTTGCCGTGCAAACCACATTTTTTGCGTCTTCGGACTGCAAGGGCATGACAAGATTGACATAGCCAGCTTGGATTTCAATGTGTTTCTTGTTGCTGGTCCATCCTGTGCAAAAAATAATGCAATGCACCTGTTGATTTGAGATCACATTTTCTTGCGTCAGAGGACCTGGCTATTGAGCTTGGTAGGATGTTGGCCTTCGGGTAGACCCTTCGTCCCACCGTCCTGTTTAGAGGAAAATTGCTATCCAGGACTTTCAATTTAGTTGGTAGGCCGGTACAATCGTGTTGTTGGAGCCAGCTAAGCAATCTTTGTCCCTGCTTTGGTGTTCATAAACGCGACACACACACACACACACATTTGTGTCCACACACAGCTTTGGCAGCTGACAACTTGCCAAATCAAAACTATGCTGCCAAGCCCAGCCTTTTCATGTTCTTGAGTGATGTGTCAATCAAGTCCTGGCCAAACGTTTGGCTTGTTCGCCAACAGTCACATCATGCCCTGATTCTTTGACCAGCTTATACTCCACGTGGTGCAACGGCATGTACTGCTCTGGCTTATCCTCTTGATCGTAGCTCTCACCGCTGATCACACTAGTTGTACCAACCACTGCACTTCAACAATCATGCCCGGCGGTATTTTGCCTGTCGGCCTAGCCAGGGCGATTACGTGGTGGGTATCGTCATGGCGCGAAATGCAGACTTCTACAAGGCGAAAGCTTTTGATTTGGGGGTCTATGGGGTATGGTACGCCGGCCGGGGCGGGACAGGTTGTGTGTGTGGAATTGGTTTCTCAATGTGCCGTGCTATCACTGGGCGAATGACGAGGGACCTCGCGAACCAGGTCTTAGGCAGGCTTGTTTCGTCTTGACATGAGGGGCTTTTGCAGGAGCGTGTGTGGCGCATATTGTATCAACTGAAGCATGAGGCGTTCGACAGAAGCATTTGATATGGACGGCGATCAAGCATTTGATGATGACGTTGAAGACCGTAACTGCCGAAATCCCTTGGGCCGTGGTCACTTGCCAACGGCAAGTCAGTTGAGGCATGGGCTAGTAGCCCTCCAATCCGGCTGTTGGGTTCCTGCGTTGCTGTGACACGGGGCATCATTTAGGTGGGGATTCATGTCCACCAGCCACTTGTGAGGTGGTTCCCTATTTAGTTTGATAGCCAAATCAATGGGAAGTGTTGTGTCAGCCTAGTGCCAAGCAATAGACCTTGGCACACATCGATTGGTACAAGTCAACAAGACTTTGATCCTGAAGAGACCTTATGCTTTTCTGGCACCGCTCGGCACTGTGTAACAGGTTGGCAACGCCCTCAAGTTTCCATGATAATTTAGATTTGTATATAAAATCTTGTTTGCACATGTTGATGTAAAACAGAAGATAAATCCAGCGGACAGCTCCTTAGTTTGACCCAACATGAAAGCTGGTCGTCTCTTTGATGAAGTGGTGGGCCCTCTGTCCACGTTCCCCAATTGATGGTGGGAGTCTGCTACACTTTGCCTTAGGGTGGGGCGCTCGTTTTCTTCTTCGGCAGGTGGACATCCGTGCGCCTTCTCCGGCCTTTCTGCCCACGCTGTCGCCGGGGCTGTCAGAGGTTGGTTTCTTTACAGCCCCTGGGCTACCCTAAATGGTTTCTAGCAAATGGGTTGTAGGATGCTACGCAAAGCTGGAACCCAGTATGAGGATAGACTTGAGTCTAGAGCTTCTCTTTTGGTTTTGCGCGCGCGAACCTTTGGTTTACCCAGACCGAACTGAACTGCAAAGGAAATCACGCGGGATAGATCCCGGCATTCGATCTTGTTCGGGCAACCAAGACGCCCGTGCCTGACACGTTCTCGTCTCCCAGCAATGTTCTAGAAGCAGGAGACACTTGCATTGCAAGGAACGCAACCACCACGCATAGCCAGCCACTAAATAATATCGCTCTCACTTGCGATATGAGGCAGACCCCTGTCCCTTGTGCTCCCCCCTCCGCCCCCCCTAGCCACGAGTGCCGTCAGGTGGAATAGCGCGACGAAACGGAATCGGCCTGTCTTGGAGCCACTTGGTGTGCGAACATATGGAGGAGACATGGTTTTGCTACACTTACAAGTTGCGGCACTGGTAATCACTGAGCAGGTCTAGGGGTTGGACATCTCAGGATCGGAACTTTGGTGTACGCTCGCGTGGAGGCTGGCTGGGAGAGACATCATGATGGTAATCATTTTATGCAATCTTTGAACGCTCAGGTGGAATTAGCTTCATAACCTTGTCCCCTTTTGGCAGGAGGCTTTGGGGGAGGTTTTATCTGGGAACAACACCAGCCCCTGAATAGAAACATCGCCAGCATTTCGGGTATAAAAAACAGGTGTAGTGAAATCATGACTTTGGTTCCAAGTTCTAAGTAAAGGCTCGGGCGCAATCGAGCAAGAGACGAAGAGACGGAGGCGGCACACCCGGACCTGGACACCGAGCTGTCGTGCATCGACCCGGACACCAAAAAGCCCAGAACCCAAGGCTTCTAAGCGACGCGCAAGCAGCACCCGATCTGTTGATGTAAACATGGGAATGAAACAGGAAAACAGACAATGAACGGGTTGTTGGTTTTTCTTTGGGTGAGCACCCAAGAGGCTGTGGGGTGCCCGACAATTCGAGCAATGCTCCTCACATCAGTGTGGTTGTAATGACCATAGGGAAACTGCAAGCCCCCATCATGGTTCTATTATCGGATTCCATATTTCTCAGTTGTGAATTCTAGGGTAATTTGCCTAGATCCCGGCAAGGAAACGTCGTGATCCACTGTTCGCCACTCGACCAATCATGCCGAGAAAAGAAACCACGCGAATGCATGCCTGCGGAGTGGGTGCTTGGCCGGCGGCTTCTCAAAGTAGGTTCCCTAGAATGCTTGGCTTCCTGAGGGGGGCCTGCTATTTGCCCTTCTGATTTAAGCACCTCGCCTTTGGAGAAGGCCTCACCACCTCGCATCATTGGCATGTTACTCCATGGCACAACTGTTTTTGGGGAAGTAAAGCGGAGGACACAACCACACTACGGGCAGCTTTCACCCGACTGCAATCTTGTTTGCCTGGCGCGCGCTGGGTATGCTCCGCTGTTTTTGCCCATGCACTCATCGCCGTGCGACTTAGGTCATGGAGCACGGGCGAGGCAGGAACGGCACGTTTGTACGGGAAGGTGTCAACAACTGAATGGCAGCCTTTTTTCAACAACGAAACCCATGCAAAACGCAAGTGACTGAGGCCCCAGAGTTTGATACACGCGATTTCCGACGGAGTTGTATGGGGCTTCTGGCTGGCCAGCCCAAGATACGTACGGGGGATCAGTGAATAGTGAAGGAGACCCCCAGGCTTATCTCAGCTAGGCTTTAAAATAGTTGGTTTCCTGTCGGTTTCTCTTTGAAAACAACATCAGAGTTCCGCAAAAGACACTCACGTCACCTGGAATCGAGAGGGCGGGGCAAGCTATGGACCATTCCATTTCCCTTCTTGTTTTGCTCAAATCTGTAGTTGTCAACCTTTGGGGAAGCTGTGAAGGAACACAATGGGCTGACAGAGGGCCATCCCACTTGGCTCAAAGCATGGTGATGAAAAATTTGCCAGGGTGGAAGTAGATGGCACAATGTTCTTTATGTGGTGAGTAAAGGGGATGACTACACCCAAAATGAGGGAACTTTGCAATTCTTTCTGCTGGTTGTCCTGCAAAAAACACTCCGAAAAGGGGGAGCCTCCAGCTGATATCGCTGTGTGATTGTTCGAACCACATTTTCTGGAGTTGGTTCAAAGGAACACACACACACACACACATATGAGCACCTGACAACAGGATTAGGAATCTACACGTAGACGTAAGGGAGGACATGGGCCGAGGCACCCACAACAACCATGGAGTGGTTAGAAAAAATCCACCCGCAGCCTGTTTGCGGGCCTTTGGAGACAGGGCATTGGGCAACACCTCCGCTCCCAAGGCCCCGGACGCATGTCCCACGGCCCAAAATGTTGGGCCAAGGCACTTGCCTTCGGGTCACTGGGCCCAGTAACCAAACCAACCAAACCAACATTCCTTTTGGGCCCATTTGAGCTGAGTTTCCCTTAGGGCTGTTTTCAGGAGCACTTTTTCCCTTCAACCTAGGGAACGCAATCCAGCACCGGGGAACCACCCGTCCCCGGGTCCAGCTGTCCAGGTGCTGCTGGGGGAGCTAAAGGGCGGCTACAGCTTCGAGGTGGCCCTCAGCGCCGCGCAGCGCCTGCTAGGAGCGGGAATGGGGGGCGCGTGGGGGCGGGGGTTCATCCGAAGCAGCGGACACGCAGGAAATGAGAAGGGAAGCGGAGGAAACATGACAGGACATACCGGAAGTACAGAGAATAAGACAGACAAGAAATGCAGGAAGTTCTGCGGGAAGTTTGGGGACCCGATTTTGGTGGGCATTTTAGCGAGTTTCCTGCTGAACTTCCATGCTTAAAGGGACACCGACAGGAAACATTGCTTAGGGAGGCCAACTTTGAGACGTCCAGTGGGTTCAGAAGGCCCGCCTCCCCTTTCTTTCAGCTGGATAGCGTTTGAGTGAAAGTGCGTTCCATTCGTGGGAAGCATCCTTTTGTAAGTGGCAAAATTTTGGAAATTTGCGGCAAATGCATTTCCAATTTCTGATTGAGAAAGGGAAGTGTACTCCCAGGACATGTACACTGGAATTTTGACCCAACTCAGAAAGGGTTCTGTTTAATACCATCAAAAAAGGGTATCCTGAGAAAAGCAGACCAAAGTGAACACGTGACAGCGGTTTTTGTGAAGCCTCTACGGTCGAACCAAATCGGATGCATGAACATGCAATATGTTGGCTTCCGCCTAGAGCAATTCAACGAATTGGAGCCTCGAGCGTTTGGGCTTTCGCCCTCCTGAGCGTGAAGGGCGCTCACTCACTGACTCACTCACTCACTCACTCACTCACTCACTCACTCGCTCGCTCGCTCGCTCGCTCGCTCAATCTACCAGCCAATCAATCAACCAATCAATCAACCAATCAATTCATCCATCTGCCATCCGTCCATCCATCCATTCATCCATCCGTCGGTCCGTCCGTCCGTCAATCCCTGCATCCATTCAACCAACCCACCGACCAATCGACCGACCAACCGACCGACCAACCGACGGACCAACAGACCGACAGACCGACCGACCGACCGACCAACCAACCCAACCCAACCCAACCCAAACCAACCTAACCAACCAAATAACCAACTATCCATTCAAGCACCTAACCATCCAACCAACCACCCAACCGCCCAACCACCCAACCACCCAACCACCCAACCACCCAACCTTCCAACCACCCAACCAACCAACCAACCAACCAGCAAGCAAGCCAGCAAGCAAGCCAGCAAGCAAGCAAGCGAAGCAAGCAAGCGAAGCAAGCGAGCAGGCTTGGACCTTGCAGCTACAACACTGAAATTACAAACGGGACCTGCCCTTGGAATCCTTTTTGGAGCAACTCTAAAAGGCAACAAAGGTGAAGCCGACCATTGACCATCTCTGCAGTCCCAGTGTTTGTGAAATCACCTCAAGTGGTGCGCAAGTATGCAGGGACCACAGCGAAGCAACAATGCGCTGGAGTTGAGGAGACGTTGCCTCGGCCTTCTTTGGGTTCTCTCGTAACACTTTCCAACACCACCCGTCCGTCAAGGGGCCTGCTTACTTCCAAGTGAATGGACAAAGGGATGTTGGGCCGTGCATCTCAGCAAGTCAAATCAAGTCTAAGAGATCGAAATGGGGGCGTTCATGTTCTGTTTGCCGTGTTGCGAGAGTAAGGTATCCACAGGTCGCCGGTCCAAAGGCCCTTTGTTGTCTTGCGCATTGGTGCGTTTTGGACCAGCCCGAAAGGTCTTGAATGCTGCAGGGTTGCCATTTGGACAGCCAAGACGGTGCCGGAGGCGCTTTTTTCAAGTTGGAGCAGCTCACAATGCTTAGCTTCCTTGTGAGGCCATCCAAAGCACAAGATGATTGTCAGCCAGCGCAAACAGCTCGTCGTTTTGTGCCACGTGCAAAGCAAGTACACAATGCAACACGTGCTGGATTGATTGTCATTCCTTCCCTGGGAGCTGAGACCAGAGATGAGGCTTCTGACGTCGTCCATTGCCATCAGCATCAGGCAAACCTGCTCGAAACAGACCAAACCTTCACCGTGGTAAAACAAACAGTCAGCCAGTTCCGCACCGTCGGCCACTTGACCCACAACACAAAGGACCACTCGACCCAGTCCGCCAGTTCCGCACTGTGGGACAGGGAGCCCCCAACCCGGTGCGCGCGGCGAGCGCACGCTTGCGTGAGGCGCTGAGTGCTTCATTTTGGATCGCCTGGGGAAGGCGCGGTCTTCCCCAAAGCGAGCAGAGATTCACATGCAGTTGATACAGGTTCAACAAGTAGCAAGTCGAAGCTTGTCAGTTCCTTCCTAAAAGAGCTTGGCTGAGATGAACCTTGTTGAACCTTTGGAGCGTTCAGTTTGCGTCTGACTTCCGAATGACCTCTTGTCAGTTTCTGGTGCCTGCCACATGGGTGTGTCCTTTTAGGGACCCCAAAAAGGGTTGGTTTCTTTTTGGTTTCCCTTAAAACCAACCAAAAAGGAGTATCCTCAAAGAAACACAGACCTACATGTGATTGCTGTTTACAGGATGCGTAAGCTCAGCTTGACCAAGGGCAAAACAACGACACATCGCCACATCAGTTCATGCACACCAGTGCTTATATTTGTTTGATACTGTCTATGCATACAAACACGCGTACGCGACATACATACATATATATATATATATAATATGTATACACACATTTATTGCTCCCTCCCCAATTACTCCCCCCTAAGTCTCGAACAAAGAACACTGCACGGTCCCTACACACCAAAACACGACACGCACACGCACACGCACACGCACACGCACACGCACACACACACACACACACACACACACACACACACACACACACACACACACACACACACACACACACACACACACACACACACACACACACACACACACACACACACACACACACACACACACACACACACACACACACACACACACACACACACACACACACACACACACACACACACACACACACACACACACACACACACACACACACACACACACACACACACACACACACACACACACACACACACACACACACACACACACACACACACACACACACACACACACACACACACACACACACACACACACACACACACACACACACACAACACACACACACACACACACACACACACACACACACACACACACACACACACACACACACACACACACACACACACACACACACACACACACACACACACACACACACACACACACACACACACACACACACACACACACACACACACACACACACACACACACACACACACACACACACACACACACACACACACACACACACACACACACACACACACACACACACACACACACACACACACACACACACACACACACACACACACACACACACACACACACACACACACACACACACACACACACACACACACACACACACACACACACACACACACACACACACACACACACACACACACACACACACACACACACACACACACACACACACACAACACAGACACACACACACACACACACACACACACACACACACACACACACACACACACACACACACACACACACACACACACACACACACACACACACACACACACACACACACACACACACACACACACACACACACACACACACACACACACACACACACACACACACACACACACACACACACACACACACACACACACACACACACACCACACACACACACACACACACACACAACACACACACACACACACACACACACACACACACACACACACACACACACACACACACACACACACACACACACACACACACACACACACACACACACACACACACACACACACACACACACACACACACACACACACACACACACACACACACACACACACACACACACACACACACACACACACACACACACACACACACACACACACACACACACACACACACACACACACACACACACACATGCAGTGTTTTTTGACCCCTGGAGCATTTGACACTTGTGCATTTAAAGCTGCTTTGTTAAGTGCAATGTATAAGCCACTTGTTTGAGGGAATCAACCGCTTTCAAGCTCCAGGGGACCAAGAAGCAAGAACCAACGTTGCTCAGGACTTGCATTTTCTACCTGGAGTTGGCCTTGCTGGTGGGTCAAAACCCAAGTCGCTAACCACTGGTCAACCGTCAAAAAAAATGGCTTTGACTTGGCTAAACGGTGGCCTACAAAAAGGGCTACCCCTTTTGCTAGAGCCCAGTTGGGTGCGTGCATAATGACACCCATACGAATCGCCGAACTGCCAGGACTGGTTTATGCGGCCAGATCATTAACTACATTTGGTCCCCCCAAAACGGTTTTCGATTTTCCCTTTGGTCTCCCTTTAAATCAAGAAACAACACCCTCCAAAGAGCCCTCACACAGTATCCTGAAACAGCTTTTGCAGACCCGCAGCCCACGCACGCCCGGGCGTAGTCGCCGCCCGGGTTTGGTCTTTGCGCCAGGACTTTGCCTTTGAGCTTTGCGTGGGCCAAAACGGACGGGTCTGGCTTTCGGCGGCCACGGGCCGGGAGACCGTGTTGCTGCTCCAGGCAGGGTGTGGAACCAGCGAGACCCGGCAGCCACATGGGGGAGTTTCTCAACACGTGTCTAGGAAAGGCCCAGAAAGCTCAAGCAGTTTTGCAGGTCAACGCACCAGCTTTTGGTTGGTTTCAAGGGCAAACAGCAGAAACTCCCATAGTGGCATGATCATTTTAGCTAGGGAGCGGAATTCATGTCCAACCACTTGTGCCCCATTCAATTCCACAGCCATATGTTCCTTGCGGGGTGGTTTTGAGTTAACGTCACTTTCTAGCTCGTTAAGTCGCCAGCATATTCGTGGGGCCCTGTGCATGTTGCGGCAGGCGATCAAAAGAAGCTTTGGCATGACCAACGTTCAGATCGAGGCCTGAGCGTCGTTTGCTTGTTTGCTCGCCGCTTGCTCCAAAACAACTCCACCCCAAACCCTACTCGACGCCAAACCCCAAACCTCCAAAGCCCATCTCAAATGTCTTCGTGCCACTTTGGCTTTACATGCTCAACGGATGAATCTGACATGTCAAGATGTGGTTTTCTTTATCATCCAAACGGTTCACGGCCAGCTCTTTTCACCGCGCGCTCGGATGCTAGGCGCTGTGCCCTGTGGTGCCCTCATTTGGCTGAAGCCATAGGATGTTCTCACTTGATTGTTAGTGGACCTCCAAAATGGATTTTGGTTTTCCTCCGGTTTGCTTTTAAACTAACTCCAGTTGGGTAGCCCCCACTTTTGCGAGTGGGAGGGAGGGAGCTCCGTATTTTTCAGTGCTGAGTGCCGGTGATGGGGTTAGGGTATTGGGTTGAGCGCTTGTTCAGGTAATTCCCAAACACTGTATGTGCGCTGCGCAAACATGAGCAAACTTGTTTTACCTTGGTGAATCTATGCAGGTGGAATCTGAAGAGGTGCCGACTTTTGCGTTGTCAATTTCCAGCATGAGTAACCAACACTATTTGTCGACACTTGCACGGTCACGCTTTGATGGCCGGGAAGAGCTGTTGAGTCGGGGTGGGCGATGTCGTAAGCATAGTTTGTAGCCTTAATGATAATAGAAGGCTCGTTTAAACAATCTGTTCTTTGAAGGTCAACGTAGCTATGAGCTTGAACAGGGAACCCAAAATGTGGTTGGTGGACATGAATCCCCACTTAAATTACGTCATCAAAGCGTCCCCAACTAGAAAGCACGCTCACATCGTTTCTCCCCCGGGCACATGGTTCCGTCTGCCGGGCAGGCGATGGTCGGCAAGATGGTGGAGACCTTCTCCTGAGTCCGATCGAGCTGTGCGAGAGTGAAACGGAGCCAGTGGGCCGGGGTAGTAGACTTGAACCTGGTGGTTGTGGATTTTTTGAGGGGATTCTCTGGGTTCAAGTCTGGCCTGGGGGAATTGCACAAATGGAGTTCTGGCCATAAATTCAAGGGGGGGGGGACAATTTCTTGGTTCAGATTGCCGATGCTTCGCTTGCTCAATCGGCTGCCTTTTCGGCTCCCGGACTAGCCGGTGGTCTGTCGCTGGAGGCGTCAGTCTTCGCCGAAGTTATCGATGAGTCGAACATCTAAGTACGTCAAAACTTGGAATTGTCCAGCGACTCAAAAGCCGTGGGCCATGCTAAATCCCCCTTCAGGCATTTTTGCAAGAACCTTCAGATTGCCAACAACCAGCTACTTGTTGTGCGTTGCAAGGTAGGACTGGCGATCTCTTCAGTTCTTCTTTTTTGGTATCAGTACTGCGACGAGGTAAGACGTCAGGTCATGTTTGGAAGAGAAACAACAGCCAGCTAGAGTCTAGAGGCTGAAGTCACCAGAGACCTGCAGCTCAAGGAAGCGAACCGACAACATTCCCACGTGTTTGTCAGCATGGACAAAGGCAATGCTGGAAATCAGCTCGAAGCTTAGCGCTTGACCAAGACAGCTGCATTCTCCATTCCTGCGCGTGATGGCAAAGAAGAAGAAGAGCGGCCAAGCAGGACTTGGGCTCCGCGGCATACACCACTCACGTACGCGTCCCAGGCCAATCGGGACTTTTGTTTCCCAGTTTTGGAAACAGCCCTCGCAATTTTAGCTGCATGCTTTCAGGCAGGTCAGAAAAGCGGGAACTCAACCTTTGCTGCTGACTGAGCCTGTTGAGCCTGGCTGAGCCTGTTTGACAGGGCGGGGTGTCATGTTTTCCTTGTTTGGATACATTGTTGCACTGGAGATTGAATCGGTTCACTCTTGGTTCGCTTTCCAGAATGATACTGCCGGGGCAGGCGACGTGTACTTAGCTCTGATCATGCTGCAACAGAACTAGTTAGACAAGTCAAAGTTAGGTTGTATACACTAGACGTGACACAGCACAGTGTGTGACATGACATTGTGTCGCCACGCAGATCTGGCATTGGAGTTTGGAACGCCTCTTTGAATCCAGGAGCCAGTGGTTACGCAGGCGCCCCGCAAAGAGACACAAGAGGGCGGGCGGTTCTGCGCATACCAAGCATCATGGTGTTGTTGAAAGGTACTTGAAATTCATAGGTATGTCTATGGGCCATCTGATCATGAATGAGATAAGGCCTCATTTTATCGCACGGTACTACAAAGAGAGCCATACATCATGGCCATCTTCCGAAGCTTTGATCATGGCTGATTCGTCACCGGGCATGAGCGAGCATTGCTGTTTGGACAGGGCTCTTTTTAAAGGATATAGTTGGCCATTCCAAGCATTGACCAAACATGGAACACCTGGTGGGAATACAGCTCCTTTGAAGCGACAGTTGCCTTCTCTCTTGCTGCAAGTACCAGTACCCTCCATGCGGTACCCACCAATGAAACTCTATCACCTTCCCACGTCCAAAGCGAAACTCGAACTCACTGAAATCGGACCGCAGGTGAGACTCCGGATGCGGCAGATGCCTCGGAAGATCCCTGGAGATCCGCCGGGATGCCTGGAAAGCCCACCGGACCACCGGAACCCTCAAATCCCGGGTTGGGGGAGGTCCAGGAGGAAGCCATGCAATCCTGCAAGACAATCATCCGACGATTTGCTTTGCGCCGATTTGTGGAAGGCTTTTTTGGTGCTTGTGCGATTTTCTGTGTTAAAGCTCGAAGGGCCTGGCTTCGGGCCTCCGGTCAGCTTCCTCCGCTTGCATGGGTTCGGCCAACAACTGATAGGGAGATGCGGGGCTCGCTCAATTCCCCACATGCCGCACAAAAAATCAGGTAGACGCACTAATTTGAGCATCTTTTTACAGGAGGGGGCAACATATCCCATGCTGAGCCAATTTGGGAGCGTATTTTTCGAGGAACCGGAGGAAACCCTCGTTTTATGAGTTTTTCTTGGGCACACCCTTTCGGACCGAGGTCCAGCCCTGGCTGTTGCGCCAGGGCGGCAAGGCGGACGTCCAAAAGGTGACGCTGGAGGCGAGGGTTTGGAGCTCTCTTTTGACGGGGCCCCACCTGGGTAAAACATGGAGTTGGGGGGGAGGTGACCCTCCAGGAATTCTCTTTCTGGTTCCATTGTCCCAGAAGTGTGGGGGGATCTTTTGATATTGAATTTCTCCTTTGGCTCTGCAAGAGTACCTTCCGGAAGTAATGTTGACATTCACAGACAAGGAGCAAATGGTTGCCAGAATCCAAATATATGAGCCAGGGAAAAGCTGTGGAGAAAGGATAGGCTGTCACCCCACTGGTTGTTGGCGGGTTTTGAAGGAGAGACAAAAGGCAAAGCCGGCTGGGGGCTGGAGTAAGGATGAGGCACGTACCAGTTTGGTTTGACAAGTGTGGGCTATGTCACGGCTGGATACTTCTGGATACAGAGACCAGAGCCTGTCAGGCAGACAAAGAGCGCCGCGTCGTCGCGGCGGCGGATCTGAAGAAAGGCGGATCCGTGCCCCAAACGCGCTATGCTCCAGCATGGTGCAGTCCTTGTACCCCTTTCGGTGGTTTAAGCAAGCTTTGCTTTTTGCTATTTCAATGAAAGCTTAGTTTCCCTGTGTGATGTTTGGAGACAGATCAGGAACCCTATTTTAACTCATTCCCTGAGTATAGAGAGACCCCTGTGGTTTACTTGCACATATACAGGGAATCAAGAGGTGGCATGCAGCATCAAATTTGGGGTCTGTGCCCGGTACTGTTGGTGAAACCTGTAGTGGGAAGCTTGCTTTGGCGAAAGTTACAGTATATATTGCTGAAGGATTTGGTGGTTAAGCGAAAGCAGACAAATTTTATTTTCTGCACTAAGTGGTACCTGCTCGGCTGTTTCCGGTGTGGTTTCCCTTCGGGTTGTCCTTTGGGTTTCCCTGTTTGTTGGCTCCCACATAGACACAGGTTGCTTTCCATTTTGAATAGAAAGAGAGGCTTCATCACTTCGCGACGCATCATCCCCTCACTGGTTGGTGACTGGGCAACTTAAGCAGAATCGGGCAAAATAAGCATGGATCCGGCTGGCCAATGAAAGGGACACCAAACGAGATGGTCCAAAGCATGGTAGCAACATGTTCAAACCTTTGATCCAACCTCCCCTTCACTTTCAAAGCTGGTCAGAGGCGAGCCGCTCTTCCACATCCCTCAGCTGCTGCCCTATATACCTCGATCGCTTTTGGATGAGTCAGGTTCTTGCATTCGCCGGGGTTGCTGCCATTGAGGGGCTTCAAGAGAATGAAGGTATCGCCATGTAGCCTCTCTGCTTTCCTATTCTGTTGCATATTGCCGGATCCACCTGACAGATGGAGCCTTCATTTGGAGATCCCGTTCTTTCAGGTGTTGGAATACATGTTGCAGGCCTGATTTCCCACTGGTTTCCCTTAACTCCAAGGACCAGCAGTCATGTCGTGCCCGACATGCACCCACAGTGCACACTTCACGGGCCCAACAACAGCGGGTTCTGGGCCAGCTGTTTGCCGGGATTGCAAAAAGGTCAGCCAATGTAGTGGTTGGGTGTGGTCATGGAGTCATGCACGGGCTTGATTTGCTTTGCCCTGGGTTCAAGGTTCAATATTGATATGTTTTCCCGTTTTGCTGTGAACAGTTCCGGAATTGGCCTGTGGTCTTTTTCAGGTTTCCGCTGGTAGCTGCTTTTCCCGGAAACTCAGGCCCCCAAAGCGAGCTTCCATGAATGAACGTGAACCGGGTCTATCCCGTGTTGAGGGTGCCCTTTTCGGATGGTGTGAACGGGGATGGGTTTCTCTATTTTGAGACAAACCCAACTAAGGGAGCCCCGAAAAAGGGTTCCAATTGTTCGGTCGGGCTTGAGGCATCTTTGGTTCACGGCAGCCGGCCTCACCTCCCACGAGGCTGGGGTGTCCCAGGATTCAGGTCTCCACCCCAAGCGGAACCTGTTGTGGTTCTTCACGCTTGTTGAACAGCAATTGCTTCTTCACCCCGCAGTTTGACTGCACACTTTCCAGTTGCGATGCCAAGTGAAGAGTTGTTTCCAGCTAGGTCCATTCGGCAAGCAATTTGTTTATTCATGTGTAGTTTATTTGTGTATTTTTATGTATTTATTTATTTATTTATTTATTTATTTGTTTATTTATTTATTTGCTTATTTCTGTGTGTCTATACATGCATGTATTTGTTTGTTTATGGTTTGCTTGTGTGGGTTGTTTTTGTTTAATTGTTGTATATATTCATTCATCCATCCATCCATCCATTCATCCATCCATCCATCCATTCATTCATTCATTCATTCCTTCCTTCCTTCCTTCATTCATTCATTCATTCATTCATTCATTCATGCATGAATTCATTCATTCATTCATTCATTCATTCATTCATTCATTCATTCATTCATTCATTCATTCATTCATTCATTCATTCATTCATTCATTCATTCATTCATTCATTCATTTCATTTCATTTCATTTCATTTCATTTCATTTCATTTCATTTCATTTCATTTCATTTCATTTCATTTCATTTCATTTCATTTCATTTCATTTCATTTCATTTCATTCATCATTCATTCATTCATTCATTCATTCATTCATTCATTCATTCATTCATTCATTCATTCATTCATTCATTCATTCATTCATTCATTCATTCATTCATTCATTCATTCATTCATTCATTCATTCATTCATTCATTCATTCATTCATTCATTCATTCATTCATTCATTCATTTCATTCATCATTCATTCATTCATTCATTCATTCATTCATTCATTCATTCATTCATTCATTCATTCATTCATTCATTCATTCATTCATTCATTCATTCATTCATTCATTCATTCATTCATTCATTCATTCATTCATTCATTCATTCATTCATTCATTCATTCATTCATTCATTCATTCATTCATTCATTCATTCATTCATTCATTCATTCATTCATTCATTCATTCATTCATTCATTCATTCATTCATTCATTCATTCATTCATTCATTCAATTCATTTCATTCATTTCATTCATTTCATTCATTTCATTTATTTCATTTATTTCGTTCATTTCATTCATGTCATTCATGTCATTCATGTCATTCATGTCATTTCATTCATTTCATTTATTTCATTCATTCATTCGTTCATTCCTTCATTCATTTATTCATTCATTCATTCATTCATTCATCCATCCATCCATTCATTCATTCATTCATTCATTCATAGTTTTTCAACTATGATTCATTTATGAGTTTCTTATTTGTTTACCGGCTTGTGTATTGTATGTATTTGTTTCGTCAGTGTGTGTATTGATTTGTGTTTTGTGGCTTATTCATTTTGCTGATTCGTCTATCTTGTCATTTTACACATATATATACATATATGTATATATGTATTGTCTATCGTTATATACAGCATTTTTTTGTTATATAAACATGTTCATGTATATATATATATTAATATTGGTATATTTATATGACTATATGCTTATATACCTTATTAGTATTAATTCGTCGTACATATACATATATATATATATATATTATACATATATATATATATACGTATGTACTTATACTGTTCTTGACGCATTTGTTTGTTCATTCTTTTTTTTTTTTTTTATCTTACATCTATTTTTTTTTTCATTTGTTTTTCTTCATTTATATTTGTACATATTTTTGTTATTACTGCTAAACTATATCATTGCTATTCATACTACTATGATCAGCATTATGTTTATCACGGTTTTTGGGCAGCGGGGGGATTTCAAGAGAGTCTGGCCTTTGTTCATCCGCGCGTTTGTTTTTGTGGGTGAGCTGCGGACTCGGGGATAAAACGGGCTCATGTCCGCAGGTTCTCCTGATTTTGCCAGTTGCTGCACCATACCGTGAATGGCGACATAATTGAAATGCTGAGCGGCACCGGTTGGGATGGATGAAACCCAAAGTTGATAAACCACCTACCAACTGGTGCAGGATATTGTCCATCCGCTGTAGTAATATAAGGGGCCAAATGATATTTCTATCGTTTACTCCTGCAGTCATGACTAAGTCTGGTTTTGGAGTGCCCCGCACCCCATTCTAATTGTGCAGGCCCTTACAGTGATTGTCCAGACGGATTGCACCGCCTTTCTTACAGTGTCTACGTTCTGTAGCCAAGGCTTCTGGATCGACGTTTGTGCCAAAGGACTGGGAAGTTTCCTGGGATTCCTCAAGGGAAGCTCGGAAGCCTTGCCCCCGTCAGCTCTCTTTGAGCCTTTCCATCTGTTCTTTTGCGCTTCAACAAGTCCGGCCTTGCTCTCTTTTTGGCCATTTGCTAGGTCGATTTCAAGCCGTTTGTTTCTCAGCACGGGTTGCAGCAATGTCCCCGCGTTATCTTTGGATGTGATACTTTAGATGGGGACATGTCGGGCTAGAGTTCAGGCAGGCCGCCTGGCGCTGAAGTGGGCGGCCAAGCCTCCAAGCGAGGCCTGGCCTTCGGTCGAGGGGGATGAAAGAGTCGGCCAGCGACTCGTCGGGTTACCTGGGCGGTTTGGATTGGAGGTTTGGGGGTTTGGGGGTTTGAAGTCCCTGTTCTTGCAGACAATTCGGGGATAAGAAACACGTCTATGCAAATTAGAACGAGAGCTCACCAATTTGGGGACCAAACGAGATCACCCATGATGCAGGTTCCTTTTCTAGTTGTGCACTTCATAGTAACCGACCTAGTCGGAACAATGGCCCCGGACTATTCAGTTTTCTCTGGTTTGAGCAGAGCTTGCCAAGCTCGATCCATCGCTCAGGCAAGCGCCGGACATACATGTTGAATCAAAACCGACCATATGGAAGCTCGTAAGCTTGTCAGTCAGCCAGTCAGTCAGACAGTCACGCACGCGAGGCACGCCAGGCAGGCACGCAGGCACACACCAGGCAAACAGCCAGCCGAGAGGCAGTGAGCCAGTGGAGGAGTAGGCAGCAGGGCAATGAGCAAACAAACTAGCTAGCTAGTTAGTTGGAGGGAAGCTAGCTGAGAAGTAAAACAGGCCCATGGACTTGTTTGGTTGATACTGCTGCAGCTAGCAGGTGAGGGGACAGGGTATATTTTTCATACCTGCAGTGGAAGTCTTCAACTTCGCGCCGTATTTGTCAGCTTTTGACAGCCACCCATGTTGAGAGCCGTCATTTGCGCCAGATCGGGCTCTCCCACGAGCATGCCAGCGGCTCGAGGGGTTACGGGGGCGGCCAGGCGTTCATCTGGTTTTTCTTTCTGAACCTAGCAAGCAGGGATAACGATTTTCCGCTATTCTGACTCAGGATTCAGGAGTTCCTGCTTGAGTACTAGGGGCTATCCCATAGGCAATCAACGGTTTTGCGACTGCATGCATCTTTAGAGCGTAACTTTGGGCACGTACCGTTTCAATTGCTGCATATAAGAGTTGCTCGCAGTCGAGTTGGGGCAATTTTCTCACCTGGACACATGCAGCGTGTGACCAACGTTGGTCAAACAGGGGTCGCACAGCCCCCTGTGAGTCAGGTGGCGCAAACCTGCGCAGCCTTTGTGCCTTTATGTGGCATGGCCCACTGCTACGGCGAACAATCAAGCTTTTTTTGCGGCCAGTTTTACTTGTACAGCTCTATGTTTGAACGTGTTTGGTTGTGTGTGTGTGGGTGTGTGTCGGCGCGCGCCTGAGGCGGGTATGTCTCTGCATGCCCGAAACGTAACAAATCCCCCAACCGCCTCCGCTCAGCCACAAAGTCGAAAAACAACGGTAAAGTTCCTGGTGTGGGAACGTGACGGGTTGCTAAAACTAGATTCTGACAAGTTCAACACGTATTGCCCAGCGACTGAACATTTCTTTGGTCAATTGACATGTTAGATTCCCGATTGTGTGCTTGCCGTATGCAAGGCGGCATGCAGACCATGCGCATTGGCCTTTCATATTCGGAAGATAGGACCCTGTGGGCCTAAGTGGAAAAAGATCCAACAAAACAATATTCAATGCAAGTCCGGGAAGGATGCATCAGTTTCACATGGTTGACAACAAGAAACCAGTGGCAGCTGCAATGAGCTTGCTGCATTTTAACTTTATAAGTTATAACATAAGATTGCCGTGGGCTAGGGTGAACAAGAAACACACCCAGTTGTGGAATGTGCACTTTTTCCCCCAACAGCTGAAAGCTTTGGGGTCTCAGCCCAGATAGGCTCCGGGGTGGTGGTAAGGTTCCACGAGGGTTCCACGAGGGTTCCACGAGGGTTCCACCAGGGTTTTACAGGGTTCACGAGGTTCTGCGAGGGCTGCGGGGTGGTGCGAGCACTACAAAGAGCACGGCATGCTGTTGGGGATATCACCCGACCAGGTTCGACAAGATGGCGTTGGCAGCAACGTGGCAAGCTGTTATGGCCGGTGGGATCCTACTTGAGTCTGTTTCAATGCACTCATTTTAGCTTACCTCAAGCTGACCCCCAAAATGGCTTCGGTTTTTCCTTCGGTTTCCCTTTAAAACCCACCCAAGAAAAGGGTACCGAGCCTCAAACAAAAGACCGACCCAACTAGAGGCCATTCCGCGGCCGGGGCTGGGATGGTTCACCTGTCAGGTGGAGCTTTGCTTGCTGGCGCTGCTTCTGCTGCTCGAAAAGGCGGCGAGGTGCGACCCGGAGACTGGGGGTGGCAGGTGGCAGATCTGGGCGTGCCTTCAAATAGGGAGCCCCAAAAGCGTTTTTTGTTTTTTGTTTTTCTGGTTTCAAGGGAACCCCCCCACCAAAAGGGCCGCCCGCACACCCATTTGGACAAATGAGAATGAGCTCAGCTGGGGTTAAGACGAGCTCCCTAAAGGTCCCTTGAGGACTTCCCTTATTTCCGGTTTGGGAATCAAAACTTGCCCAGTGGGGCGGACGCCCCGTGCCCCAAAACTCAAGGGAGCGAGGGACTGAAACCATTGGAGGGACGTCCTGCTTTGTAGCTACCTTTTGCAAACCCATGATGAGCGATTGCGAGCCGGCCCACACACATTTTTGCCACCATTTCCATTTCAGATTCGCTTGTGCGTTCTGAGGTTGACAACAACTGCAGCTGGCCTTTCCATCGGGCATGCTGGCTACATGTGCACGTTCCGAGCATGTTTTTCATTTGAACCCAGGGAATGATGTTTTCCACAAGGGCAACCCTTATAGGCTCCTTTGGGAACAGATGCGCCCTTTTGCAAGACAACAGCTAGGCAGTCTCGCTGGGCCGAGTACATCTCAGCCGGGACCCCGGTCGGTTCCAGAGGTGGCGGGTTGTTGGCTGACTTTTGTCTGAAACAAAGGGGGTTCGAGCTGTAAGTTGTCAGAGCAGCTCTCCAGCTTCCTTTCGCTCGCCTTTCGGTTCCCTTCCGGTTTATTCCCCAACCAGGGTTCCACGAGGTTCTGCGAGGGCTGCGGGGTGGTGCGAGTGGGGATATCACCTGAGCTTATTTGTTTTCCTTTGGTGCGTTCAAAGGCCTTTCCCCAAACTGACAGTTCCCTAGTTTGCACCACAATCGGCATGCTCTCTTCAGAAGCCCGAGAAAACTGCCCGCGCGGTTGCTCCGAGCCTCCACATGATGATGCCAACGGACAAGCGGGAGTCAGAGCAAGCACGTGAACCAGCAAAGAGAAGGATCCAAAGACCAGACATTTGGCCACTTTTGAATGTAGATGTTGCCTGCCTATGAACTTTTTCCCAACACCTTGGTTCGACTGGAGGCGCTGCCTTGGTCTGCGCGGTTGCCCTTGACCTGGTCGCCCGAGCCCCGGGCACCTGGCGGCTGAGGTGAGCCGATGCACCCCGTGTATGTACATGTATAGTATACCATTTCCACGTTGATTCAAAGGGAAACCAAAGGACAACTCACCAAGTTGGGGCTCCCCCTATTTTGACATTTACCCAGTTGAATGTGTCAAAATAAGAACCTCCCCTTCGAACTGGTCCTTTGCGGCTTGGAATGCAAAGAACAACCCGAAGAGGGTACCCAACTTCGGATACGAGTGCCAGCTGTCTCCCATAAGGCGCCCGAATGAACGGGCATTCCATTGGGAGAGCCCTTTGGGAGAGCCCTTGGGGATGGGATCGGTTCTTAACTCATTGCCGTCATTTTCCATTTCTTTGACTCCGGTCAGAACGCATACTTTCTCTCGCGGTTCTGCATGACCAGCCCCGCGGCCTTGGTGCCAGAACTTAGATAGGTGTCCTGGATGAAAATCCCAGCAAATCAGTGGTTAGTGCTTGGATCTTAGGCCGACGTAGTAAAGCTAAAACCCACCAACAGCAGGGCCAGCTTCATTTTGGGAGCTTCCTGACTTGGCCGAGCACCCAAGTAGCAAGAAGGCAATTCGAGGGGAGTAAGCAGGCTTCCCATTTGGCTTAGAATGTTAAGAGTTGGAACCACCTCCAAAGTGGTTGGTGGACGTGAGTCTCCACCTAAATGATGTCCATGAAAGGGTCCCGCATGCAAATCCAATTTTGACTGGGTTGGCTCTTTCGGTGTTTGTGTGCCGTTGCAACACTTTTGGAAGGGAAGCCAAAAGGAAACACGAAAAAATTGAGGGGATCCCCTATTTTGAGATATGTACAGCACATGGCAGGCCGGCGGAGATGAGCCGGCTGCGGGGTGCTGCGCCCCAGTGGCAAATCGAGGAGCGCCAAGGGTGCCCTGGGAGTCGGTGACGTCAAAGAAGGTGAGCTACATAGTGCAACTGCATATTCATTTACGTGTTTGTATATACGGAGACATGTATAACTGTATATTATATATAAATCTATGTATGACTACATCTATGTATACATATATATATATATATATATGTATAGTCAGCCTCACCATGACCTACCTGTTGCTTTTTGAAGCCCTTTCATATGGATTTTGTGTATTGACAGTACATATTTTCAATGCCAGATTGCCTGGTATTCTGGTTTTCATGAGTTGTAGACTGATACTGGCCGGATTCTGGTCTCTGGGGCCACGTTGAGTTGGGCTTGCCAAGAACAACGTTTTTTTTTGGCGCTATTTCCTTGTTTTCTACTCTTGCAAAGTATTTTTAAACATGTTTCACGCTTGTGGACATGTGCAACAACTAAACCATATGCAGGCTCGATTTGACTCTTCCTAACGCATGCAAGTGCCACATAACTGAACCATGGAAAGCCAAAAAGCCGAAACACCTGGGGAAACCCAAACAACGCACAATCTCTGGGGGAGAATCTTTGGTTTCAGCCCCAAACTATGTGTTTGTTCTTTTCCTCGAGTTGTTGGTTTTCCCACTGATTGTTGTCTTTCTTTGCCATTACCCCCCCCCCCCCAAAAAAAAAAAAAAAGAAGAAGAGGAGAACAAACACACACACACACAAACAACATACACTTGTGTGTTTTATTTGAAGGCCAAATGTCCACAAACCAAAAAAAGCTTGAGTTTTTTGGTTGTTTACTGAACAAACTACAAAACCAACTGAGGGAAACCGATAAAACAACAACAACAACGACGACGACGACAGCAGCAGCAGCAGCAGCAGCAGCAGCAGCAACAACAACAACAACAACAACAGCAGCAGCAGCAGCAGCAGCAGCAGCAACAACAACAACAACAACAACAACAACAACACCAACACCAGCAGCAGCAGCAGCAGCAGCAGCAGCAGCAGCAGCAGCAGCAGCAGCAGCAGCAACAACAACAACAACAACAACAACATTGAGAAAACAACAAGAACATAGTTTTGGGCTGAAACCAAAGATTCTGCCTCAGAGATTTGTTTGTTTGCGTGTCCTTGTTTTTTGGTTGTCCCTCTGTTTTGTTTCATTGTTTTTTCTTTGCATTATCCCTTCTGATAGCCACCAATTGCTGAACACTTTTGTCAGATCAGTCAGCGACCCCAGTTTGAACTAGACTGAAAAGAGGCATCTGGTTCCAAGTAAACAGATAGTGACATCTAATTCGAAGTCAACAAGGACATCAGAAGGCTCCCTACAGTGCTACTTGCAAGGCTCCTTGTAAGGCTTTGTATTCAGCTCCTTCCAACGCTCCTTGTGAAGCTCCTTACAAAGCTCAGTGTAAGGCTCCTTAAACGGCTCCCTTTCAAAGCCCCTTGTAAGGCTCCAGACAAAGCCCCTTTGCTATAATGATCCTTACAGAGCTTTTTTGAAAGGCTTGTGCAAATCCTTATAAAGCTGCTTGCAAAGTTCCTTATAAGACCTGTTGTGAAGCTCCTTAGTAAAGATCCTTTCAAGGCTCCTTACCAAATAGGATGTTGATCAAACCAGAATGTCGATTTTGATTTCACATTTCAAATATGGTTTCCTCTCCAAAAGGCTTCGATTAAAACAGTTAAACCTTGAGTAAATCTAATAACGATGGAATCTTACTGCAGCAGTGGTTCTGTTTTCAAACAGAATGGAGTTGATTTTGGTTTGCAGATGGGAGACAAACCAGATAGGACTGATATGCAGAAGACTTGCAGGTGGGACATCTTTCAAGAAGCATGTCATTTGGATTTGCAGATGTGACGGACATCAAACAGAATTATATTTAAAAGATAGGTCATGGAAACCGAGCTCAGTATATACATATATATATACACATTGTAATACACATATGTACTTACATACATACACCTGCACATATATATATACATATATATATATATATATACACACCCATATATATATATATATACACATGCTACTCACCTTGAAATACTCAGGTTTTGGGCTAGATCTGAGGTGTTTGGCCAGACTGGGGGTAGCAAATGCCTTGAGACTCTGAAATTAATTGACAGGACGTGCAACTCCATGCAAATTCCAACCAAGCAGAAGTTAATCTCAACGTTGAATAGGAGGTCCTATTTAAACAGCTCGAAAGTCACATTGGCGTGCGGGAAGTGCACTTTGGCAGCTTCGGCTCAAACAGCAACACTTTTCAGCACAACAGTAGTTACTGAGTAGTGCGCGAAGTATGCTTTGGCATCTTCAACGTGCCTGTAGCAGCTCTATTATTTGGTTGTTATTGTTGTTGTTCGGCAGGGAATTTCAGCAATTCATCAACTTGGGGGAATGGACCTCATTGCTACTTGCAACTGACATCCAAATCAAAATTGAAGGTGCTTCATGCCCGTGCGCAGTTGCACTTGCATGTTAGTTCATTTTTGCATATTTCTATTTACATTCTAATTAAGTTGATTTAAAATCATATGTGCAGAACAACCATCTCAGTTGTGTGTTGCTTGTTTAATTTGATTCAATCATCGTCAACAACAACTATTGAAAATCAAATATAGGAAGGATATCCAATCTAAAATGAGTTCGAGTTCAAACCAACATTAAATTCGAATCAACTCAACTTCAAAAGGGTTATCGTCCTTATCTAACTTGATGTGGTTTTAGCCAAGCAAGAACTGAGCCAAGCCAATGACTGAAAAGTGTTTTTCAACATAGATTTTACTATCGGCATAAAGTGCTATACAACGCTGTGTTTTCAGCATATGCTGAAATCGTGTTGCCGTGGATCGAAGATCAATTCTTCAAGAGTCCACAGACATATTTTTAGAACATCCTCAATCCTGGCCCCTCAAAAGCTTGCAGGATTGCAGGGTGAAGATTGAAGATTCTCTGACAACTCTTTAGGGAGTTCTTCAAATCTGTACATAGGGCAAGCCAGGGTGTACTAGCACGTGCTAGCAAATCCTGGATTGAGGATTGAAGATCGAAGGTTCTCAGACACTTGTTCTGGAAATCTTCAATTCCAACCTTAGGACAAACTAGATATGTGCTAGCACGTGCTAGCGCATCTTGGATTGAAGATTGAAGATTGAATAATTGCAGAGAGAGTTGTCAGAGAACCTTCAATCTTCAATCCCGGATGTGCTAGCACGTGCTAGCACATGCGCATCCTGGATTGCCGTAAGTGCAGATTTGAAGATTGCCAGAAAGAGTTGTCAGATACTTTGGATTGCATTAAGTACCGACGCTAGAAGTTAAGTCCAAAAAGGGGTGCATTTTAGAGCATCATGTTTACAAGCTGGAAAGTGCGTTTTACATGCATTTTTACAGCAACAACCTGAGTATTCCAGGGGGGGAATGTGCATATATATATATACACATGCGCCTATACACATATATATATATATACATATTTGTTTAGCTATCTATACGTATTCATTATTGCAGGGCCTAGCTCCAATCATGAACTGACGAAGGAACCAACGAGGAAGATTACTTCGATTGGTCAACAAGGAGGTAATTGGGGCAGGGGAGGTGTGACACCTAGAGACAGAGCTACGGGCAAGCATGTCAGCAACAATGTGGACTCTTTCAGGCTCCTCGTTTTGGGGGTGGAGGGGGAGACGGCAGGGGTTGCCCTTGTGTTATACGTGGCTAACAACGAACATCCTATTCGCGGGGATGAACTGCCCTCATGCAGGAGAAGCAGAAGCAGCTGGAATCAGCCCAAGTTCTCAGCCGCTAGTCGAGTCTGCAGGACGTTCCGTTGCAAGCATTGTGCGTGTTTGAACGGAAGTCTTGGCTGCTGTTTTGCTTTATCTTCAACAGTTGAAGTTCAACTTGTTGAGAAACATGTGCGTTGTCCCATGTTCCTATCTCCAGCGACCATAGCCATGTGGACAGGAGGCAACGGCCACCAACCAGTTTTGGGTTCATTTAACAAGGAACCAAACATGAAACCAACACACATTTGCTGCACGCATGCACCCCTTCAAAAACATGTTCAGAGGACACACACACACACATGGTTGTAGGGAACAAGCCTTTGTGCAAAATTCACACGTGTCCATGGCACAGGGGGACACCCTCTGTCCTACAGATGAAACCCCAGGCTATACACCTGGTTGGGCTCCCATCAAGCCGCTGAATTTGCTGAATGCCACTTCAAACGGGGTTCTTTTTCAGGGTATCACAGAAAGTGGCAACCTGCAAACTGACTCTTCACACGTTGAATCAAAACAACAACAAAAAGCAACAACTGTACACGTTGGAACTTCTGGGAATCAAGAAGCCCCAACCTGCCTTTCAGGCGGGCCATGGTGATTTGGCCAGGTACCTCTCGCCTTGGCTGGTTGATCCCCTGACAGTTGTTCACCTTTATGGTGTGGGATGCAACACTAATCCAACTCTAAACTCTAAACAGCTAAACCGAGTGCTCAATAGCTGTGTTTGTCCATTCGGCTTTCTTGAAATAAAGAGTCCAACAAAGGCACTGCCTCTGAAAGACACCAGCCCATTTCTTGAAACAACCAGCCCCTCCAAATCAATGTGAAAGTGCGTTCAAGAACTGAGGGTCCGCCCCGAGGGTTGGTTTCAACACGTAGCATTTGATATGTCAAATGTTTACTTTGGTTGTTTGAATTGGTGCCCTTTTTGGATGCCTTAAAGGGAAGCCAAAGAAGGAAAACTAGGGGATCTCGTTTAAACAACACACACACACACACACACACGCCCCAAGTTTGATTCAGCTTCTGTGAAACATATCAGAAAATCCTCAAGGTTGTTTACACATGTTTAAGGGGGCTGGTTGTGGTAGCCGACATGGTGGTCTGGCGACCGCCGAGGGAACTTTTGCACCTTGCCTGGTATGTACCAAGGAACACATTTCATCTAAATCGATTGCAGAATCCTTGAGCAATTCATTCTTGCTGTCAAAGCGTGGTTTGATCCCCTGAATAGGAATGGTTGCTCTCCGTTTTCCTTTCGAACCCACAGGAGATTTGACCTGGGGCACCGTCTACTGCAGCAAAGTTTCAGTCAACCCAAGCACGAAAACTGGAAAGCAAATGGCCCAAAATGCAGGTCCCAGACCTGTTGACACCTGCTCCTGACACTTGCTTTGACAGCTACCCTTGATGCTTGCCCTTGACAACTACCCTCCCACTGTGCCACTGCGCCTGCAAAGGCAAGCAGATGAATGGTGTGGGAGTGATGCGATGCGGCCGAGGCCTTTTCCTCGCTGTCTGCTTGCCTGAAGGCTCCGCTTGTTTCCGGCCGCCTGGAGAAGGGGGAGCAGCTTGTTGCTTTGCATGGCGAATGAGAGCTTCTGCGGAAGCAAAGTTACCCACTGTGATGTTTTTGCTCTTTGAGGCTGACTGCTTCACAGGACAAGTATAAGGAGGCCCACGTGCCTCGATGGGTCAACTTTTGCTTGCGCATTTTTCCCTCCATGAAGCAAGCACGGGGCACAGTTCCCATGTCTTTTTTCCCGCCTTGCGAGCGCGGGGCACAGTTCAATTTCTTCGCCCTTGCTTTTCGGCACTGTTTGACAATCGTCGCATGACAGTGGGAGAATAAGGCAAGCCGAGAAGAAGGCCAGCTGCTACGCCAGTGCTGACTTTCTGCCCCACCTGAAGCCAAGATTGATTGAATCAAAGGCTTCAGTCCCGCAGTTGTGAATTTAGCACCTCCAGAGTCCTTTTTGTTGGTTCCCTTCCAAAGACAGCCGAAAGACAGCCCCCTTCCAAGCAACAGGGTTCCGATTCTTTTGCCACCGTCCAGGCTGCTTGCAACAAAGCCTCGCGAAAGTTTTGCAGCCGAGGGCCAAGCAGCAGCGGAGCTGAAAGCCGCAAGCCCCAGCAGCAGCGACTTCATCTTGGCCTTCTCGAGAGGGCCTCGGGCGGGGTCGGGGTGGGGAGGGGTGGGGTGCGTTCACGTGAAACGATGCCTTCTGCCTTTGACCCCTCAAAGCTATGACCCTGGTCGGCTTTCACCGGCTTTCGGGGCTCGCCTGTGTTTCAGGCATTTCCGCGCAAAGGAAGACACCTCCTCTGACAGCAACAAACTTGTGTACCCTCCAGTGAGGCCCTCCAGAGAACGAAATCGTGGATAACTAAAGCAACCCGGAGGAGATCCCCCCCAAAGAAAACTGCCCGCCAGGTTGATGAAAGTGGTCTTCCAAACAAAACGGTTCCATGTGGCTAGGGTAGGGTACCCAAGGCTGGCGCACTCCCGGGCTATGGGCATCTCCTCCGATGGCGAAGGCGAGGTCCGGTTTGAAGTTGGCCACCGAGGCGATTGCCCATTGGCATTCGTACCAATACAATAGTACAACGAATCCATATTCTTTCATGAAAAACACCATGCCATGCAAGTGATTGATTATTCTGTGGAGTGAGGACCTTAAGAATAATGTTCAATGCATGGTTTTGAGAGGCATGTGGCACGGGTTCTTGTGCCGGCAGTGCAGCTCCTAGTTTCGATACGGTCCACACATGAGCCCAAGCTGTCACATATTGAGCCAGCAGTTGAGAACATCCAGAAATCGGCCAAGCTCCCGTCTCCTGATTGTGATTCTTTGCAAGGGGTGGTTTCTCCAGTGTACCAGCGCCACCTTGTGCCATATGGATTGAACAGTTTTCTCAGCCGAGTTTTCAAATAGCCCCCTTGTCCCCTTGTAAGGGAAAGCCAGATAAACAGCAGTGCTTTACGCAGGTTTAAGCACAAGGACCCCCTCTCAGCAGCATTTGTTTCTGCGCATTTGTTTCTGCGGGCATTCGGTCTGCCTGCCTATGCCAGGCTAGGGAAGTTTGTTCAGAGACAAAGCCAAACACAGCCACCAAAAACCAAAAAGTAGGCAGCACTGTGGCAGTGGCTTTTAAGGAATCTTGCCTGAGCCTCTGGCTTGGCCCCTGCTTGGCGATGCCAGGCAGGCAATGGCGCTTGGCCATGTTGCCCTTTGCGGACATGCGCCGTCCTCAGTGTGGCCTCACTCCAGAGGACGTTTGGACCCGAGGCCTTCCGTTTCTGGGCACATTCCAGCCACATAGGGGCGGCGTGCGACGTCATGAAGGCTTCTTTCGTAGGGATCCATTTGTTGTTCGGGCGGCGATTTTTTTCTCAATGTGCAAAAAGTTGCCCGGTGCCAGATGGTTGGCAGTGCCTTTGGCTCAATATTTGAGGGCCCATGCTTGACAGCAAACAAGAGCTCTTGGGGCCTGGGGCTTGCACAAACAATGGTCGTTCCACTGCTCGTACAGGCCACATTTGCGACTTTGGCCTCAGCTACAAATGTAGGGCAGTGACAGCACAGCTAGAGCTTAGGTTGAACCACAGCAGCGCGCCTGAAGTGGATTGGGACGTGGTCCAGACGAAGGAGGGATAGACAAACTTCCAGTCCCCTTTCCACTGGCATGTAGCCCCTCTTCAGTTGGAGTCTTTGCACCGCATTTTTCCAAAGCAAATGCAGTCAACTAGGGCAAGAAGGCCAAGAATGCCTGAGAGGATTTCTGGGGCACGAGGAATAGTGCAGGTAGTACCTTCATAGAAACTTCCGAATGTAGTTTCAATAGGGTGCGGTTGAAGCCCTTAGCCAGTGGGGCACAAGGCTTGCCCTGCTTTGTACCACGTTGCACAGACTGGCAGCATGGAAGCCGCCTCAAAAATCACCTAGAGCAAAGCTGTCTTCCAGGACCCCAGGACCCCGGCCAGGTTCCATGTTGGGAGGGTGCAGAAAGACGCCGCGGGGCTAGGAGGGCCTCTGCGCCGTCTTCCGCGCGTGTCGGGATGCGGCCAAGGGGTCTGCCGGGGGCCTTGGCACAGGAGAAGCCCAAGGAGTATTTTCGAATGACTTTTAATGTTTAAGCCCCAAAAATGGCTTCGGTTTTCCTTTTGGTTTCCCGTCAAAACCAAAAAAGGGGGTAGTGTAAGGACACACACACCGCACCTCTGGAACCTGATCCCCAGGAAGCTGCCCTGCTAAAAACCTAGGATTGGTGGCAAAGATCGCCGGCATGAGGTGGCGTTCCAAGTGTCTCTATTGAGGGTTGTTGCGATACTGGAATTTGCACCCTGGACAAGTGACCCAACGTGGATGAAACCTGAATTTCCTTTGAAAGATGGTTTACCTACTTCTTACGTGACTTTCTGGCTTCGCCTTATAGCTATGGTCCCAAACGCTTCATTTTCTGGTCTTTCGGGCAAATGAGGTGGTGTCTAGAAGATGAAAAAAACGAATAGGGTTTAAACCTAATCGACTGAGTCTGAGTTTTGGGGCGCGACTGGAATTCTATTTGGTGTTGGGGGACAATATCCTAGCGGGCTGACCAACTTGAGAATACTAAGCGGCCTTTTTTAGAGGATTGTGGTCTTCCACAACAGCTCTGTCCACTTTCATGAGTATTGGAAAGAGGGCATGTCATGACCCTGTTTGCAAGCAGATCATGGCTGGCTTCGACGCAAATCTCAAATTTTCCCTGGATGATCGGGTGGCGCCATTTGCAGAAATATGCTTTGCCACCAATTCTTCGCGGCTGCATGCGAGGCAGTCCTGTTTGGTGAGTGACCTTTGATTCCAGCAGCTGAAACAGCCCACTCCAATCCCAGAGCAAGGGCCCAATTGTCAGGCTGATTGAAGACGGCCTGTTGATCAAGCATATGGCTGTGTACTTGAAGCAAGTTTCCACTCGGGCATCACCTTCTGTTTGCCCTGGGCCACGTGGAGAAGAACTTCCAGTCAGCATCTGTTGGGGGCCGCTCCTCCCACGGGGGCTCGCTCGGCTGCCAGGAGTTGCACATCAGCTACAAGCGGGCCGCCTCCGCGCAGGTAAGGGGCGGGGAGGACTTTCAAATGCAAGTGTGTGTCTGTGTGCATGTGCCTGTATCTCTTCCTCTCTGTCTCTCGATCTCTCTATCTCTCTTTCTCCCTCTCTCTCTCTCTCTCTCTCTCTCTGTCTTTTCATTTTCTCTGTGTCAAACATAAGTTAGACCATGTTATGCCCTTCCAACTGTGTGTTCTCCAAAATGGGGTAGCCCGCACACCCCCTACATTGGTTTCATTTTAGTTCCGGGTGTTGCGTATTTGGCTGCCATGTTTATTTGCGCGGGGGAGCAGTCTACTCATGCCTTTTCATGGTTGTTGAAAGGACACATTTTCAAAAGTTGTGCTTGGAAGGGAACCAGCAACGGCGGAGCAAATCAAGTGAAAGGACAGGGTACTCGTTTTTGTCCCCGGTCAAAATAGGAGACCCACAACACGGCAGCTTGTCTTTTGGTTTCCCTTGAAACCACGCTCAACACCGCTCCGCCAGTGGCCCTGCAGCCGAACTTCAGCCTTTCAGCGCGCGCCGCAGTAGATTTCCCGACCACCGTTCAGGGCAGGGGATCCATGTTTTTGTTTTTTGTGGGATCGCTCTCCCGGGAGGCCTTCTTCGCCACCTATGGCTTCATTGAGGACTCGCAGAAAGTGACCCCCAGCGAGCTGAGGTGTGGAGCACGGTGGCTGAAGGGAAGGCAGACCTTGAAGCGAGCCGAAGGGCTAGCACAAGCTTTGGAAAACGTCCATGTTATGACTGGTTTATCAATTTGGCGCCATCTCTTGACGGTCCGCGGTTCGGCTTTTCAGGTTTCGTTTTTTGGAAATGTGTGTTCCAAAAAAGGTGTTTCGAGCCAAAAGCTTTGAGTGGCACCTGCAAAAAACGTGGCTAGACCAGATTTAAGAGGGAAGTTGTCAAACGTGGACCATGAATCCCCTAAATGATGTCCAGCAGAGGGTCCAACCATTTAAAGTTCAGCGGCTGGCTGCTTGAACATGTCGCAGGCTGGAACCCTGGAGCGGGCCAGGCGCGGCTGATATTGGGTGAATGGGTTGGAAGAAATGGCTAGGACCGATGCTTCGCACATCTGGTGCAAGGGACCCATTTGTTAGAATTATTATGTTTAGGGTCCCTGAGATACGGTTGACTTTGAAACGTTGGATGGGTGGGGCCTGGGTGAGACTGGCTGCCTGGGAACAGTACTCCCCTACAGAGGAACATGCAACCCAAAGGGGGTGTGAGTCCCCCAAAAGGAGTTTTCTACAAAGGGTGTTTTTTTGGGTTCCATGTAAATTTGCACGTGATTATTTTCTTGCTTGTCCATGCCTGTTGTTGGTCCGAGGGACGATTGCCTTTCTCTGTCAGGTCAGGGGGGGACAGCAGCAACCGGGGTTTTATTTTTTTTCTTTGTTTTGTCTATACCTTCTTGGGAAAATACACTAAGAGTGTGGGGGGGGGTTCGATAGATTCAAATTGGCATGCCAATCTTTTTCCCGCAAAATCCACAAAGGGACAAAGTGTTGGCGACAAGCGAGCAAAGTTCGTCCGGCTTGCGACTGCTGGAGCAGGAAGCTGATGCATGGGTGGGAACAAAACGTGGATCAAAGGACGGTGCTGTCAGAAATTTTTGAGACGACATTCTCGAAAACAGTCTTGCACGCCAAGTGCACCCTCTTCCAACCATCATTTAACTGGATAGGAAGCGTTTTCAGGAAGACCCCACTTGTTCAAACACCCGTTTTTCAGCTTCCATTGCAGGAAATAAAGATAGGATTCTTCTTGGGTGTACGGCAAATGGGTCGAAAGACATGGCAGGTGCGGGCGAGACGGTGTCTGCGCTCTCTGTGGCTTCCCTGCGGCACCTGCTGAGTCTCTTCCGTGCACAGGATCCGAGCAAAACGGGCAGAGATTGTTTCAAATTGCCGAATTTCAATCCTAGGGGTGCTTATCGGGACAAAATTAACAAATGGACTTTCAATTTATTTGAGCGTGTGACAAAAGCCGACAACCCTGCCGCTGCCGTCTACTGCGACACACCTTTTTGCCATCGAACAGCCTTTTTGCAGCGAAAACACAAGGTGCTGAAATTTAGCATTTCAACACATAGCATCCAAACCTTCGTGCTTCCCCAAAATCCGACAAGCCCTCTTCTGGCCTTGGAGAATTGGGACAACATGCTCGATTGCCTTTGTGATTTATCTTTGAAACAAAAACAGGTTGTCTGAAATGGCTATGAATTCTGATGAGACCTGCTATCCCAAATTGTTGGTGGCCACCCCTGCCCCGAAATGTGACTTCTCCCTTGCAAACAAGCGACCCAAAGAAGCGACCCCCCCAACTTTGGGGTAAGCACAAACGACCAATTCATGTGGTTTTGTCTCAGGATAATTTGAAACCCTCTATTTTGTAGTTTGGAAATGTTTTGAAGCGAAGGCAGGAACCCAACCATCTGCAGACCTGGTTCCTTTGAGAGACACCCAAAGGCGAGGCTAAAACCACCGCAGTGGCAAACCATACCTGTATTTCCTCTTCAAAACAGATTGGACAAGCGTTGGGGGGTCCTAAGTGTGGTCAGCCGAAGCCAAGCAGCAGATCAGTGTGACGCTGACCAACCAGTGGAGCAGATTCTGGGCTTGTTCAGCATCCTTCTCAGCTGGTTGCAGACTGAATATGGAGGGAGAGTGACTTGCGGCGGCCAACACACGTGGGTGGGGTTCTGGGTACTCCCCCTGCAAATTAAGAATCCAAAAAGGGGGGGTCCCCAGAAATGATGGTTTTTTGGGTTCGATGTCAATTTGCTGGGGAGAAATTTCAATTTTTGGCCGCACTCTAAGTGGCGCACCGTTTCTTTTTCTCTCTTGGCGCAGGAGGTCGGCGCAGAGTTTGCGGCTGCTCGCTTTCCGCTGCCCCTCGGAAGGGAGTTAGGAGCCACAATCAAAACCCGGGTAAACCGGGTAAGCTACGGTGAATAGGGTGCAGCCGCCCTTTGGGTTCTTTACAGGTTGTCATTGTGACTCAGTTGTTCAGTGGCGCTCTTGGATGATCCACTGGAAGCAGTCAACCGCAAAAGGATCCCTTTCTTCCCCGGGGTCGGGCGCGTCAGGAAGAAGCAGTTCAGCAAGACGCAACTACCGATGACCAGCCGCATCGCTGTTTTGGCACGTTGATGTCATTGCATCCCCAGCAAGGCACAATGGGTGCAAACTGAGAACCAAGGCTGAAACAAAACAAATTCTGATGAATATGGGGTTTGGCATTTTAGAGCTAGGGGAATCCGCCACTTTCTTGGCACGCTCGGTGCCTTGCCCCAAGGTCGCAAGCGAGCCCCAGCCTCAACAGGGAGCGGTCAGCGGATAGTTTTGGAACCCACGGAAGATTCCCTGGCTTTGCGGCATGTTTGAACACGTTTCTTCCGGAATCTGAATCACAGCCCGGTATAGACGTATTCTGGGGATGAATCAGAGATCTAAGGTATCCCTTTGTTCTACTTTCAGCGGGCCGCAAATGAATGTGTTTGGGTTTCTTGTCTTTGCTTTAAAGATGGCCATGCAATCCTTTCAGCTTCTTTCAGCTTGAGCCGTGTGCGTCGTGTAAAGTCCTTTGTGAAATCTCCGCTCACAAAAGCGGAGTCTGACCAGGCCTCTTGGACGTCAGACACAGCCTTCCAGGGGTCCTCTGTCGGCTCCCTCTTGAGTGGGAACCTGGCAGCCTGACTGGGCGGGATCAAGTCTCAGCAACCTCTTTGGGGCTTCTTTAGCTGGAGGCATGTAAATCCTCCGAGCGTGCGGCCAGAATCCCTTCGCTTAGGGAACGCAGCCCATGTTTCCCTCCAGCGTTTTTTTCCCAGCTCAGGGAGAAAGGTTGGGTATGCTATTCCAAGGTCATGTATGTCATCTATGTATATATATATATGTATATATATATATATCTACACATATATACAGGAATGTCATGTACGTCACAGTCATGTATGTCATCCATGATCCATGTATTTCACGTGTCTACCATGGCATGTCTCGACTCATGGAAGGCGACCAGCTCGCTTAGGCGAGTTGGCGGCCCTGACCAAGCTGCGCTCCTGCCTTCGGGATCGCCGGGCGCCCCAGATCGAACGCGGATCGGGTTGGACGGTCAGTTTGCCGAGGAGTAGATGTCCAAGCCATCAAACACGTCAGACTCAGACGGCCAGTTTCACATGAACTTTTCGGGACGTCCCGTTTGAGCTTGAGAGTCCCACGCTGGCAGGAACGAAATGGGATTGGATGGAGCTCAAAGGCAAAGAGCGTGGAAAACCATCCCTTGGTAGGTTTCAATCAGCAGCATCTTGAGGGCTAAGGACTCAAGCCCACATGGCAAGAGCTTCGTCTCGGTGTCCAGTTTGTTAAAATTAAACCAAACCGGGGTCTCTGTAAATCACTCGCCAGGCGTTGAGGTTAATGGTTATTTTCATACACGCGCTCCAATGCCTCGTCTTGGCTTCCATTGCCATCTCCCGCCTTTCTTTTCACACCTACGCTCCTGGGGCAGAAACAACGTTCAGGAAGGCACAGGTGCAGAATTGCCATTGATTTGAATAGAGAGACCCCTCAAAAGTGGTTGCAGACAGAACTCCCCACCTAAATGTGTCCACCAAAGGGACCCCCCGTTGAAATTCATACCCAACTTGCAATCACATTTTCAGGGTCCCCTCTGTCGCCATCCCGAGCAAATCGCAGCCTCCTTGGGCCCCTCATTGAGCGAGCGCTTTTGAGAGCTTCTTTCAATGACTCAAGTTGGGTCAATGTGTGACCAAGCACCTTAATTTGATGGGCGCCACCGACAACTCACGCACTCAAAAGTCTCAAAGGGAACCCCAACTCGTTTGATGTTTGGACTATTCTCCAAGAAGTATGGGTGGACCCCCAAACTTGTGCTTTTCCTGTTGTTTCCCTTTAAGCCAACCTCCACAAAGGGCTCACTCCAAAAGCGCACCCATATTTTATCCTTGCGGGATCGGGCGCGAGGCCTCGCGTCCGCGGAAGCCGCAGAAGCCGTGGAAGCGGAGGCCGCGGACGCCTCGGACCACAAGGGCAATGGGTTTGGTGTCCGTTGGTTTCACCAGGGACCAAATTTCTACCTTTGCGACACGGTCTTTGGAGCAACCCCGAATAACGACGGGCGCCCTGTTGTCTGAGTTGGCACTTGGCTCGGGTTCAAGGACTGGCCAGTGGGGCGGTGCGACAGATCAGCCTCAACCTTTGCTTTGTTGTTTGGCTTCCCTCAAGAACGCCAGTCCGCGGCATCAACCGGCCGCTGGAGAACGCGGCGTTGGCCCCAATGGTCGAGCAAGCAGGCGAGCCAGTGCTGGCAACGCGACGCGGCTGCCAGCGACCATGCTTGCAACATCGCTGCTTGCCCCGTCCGAATCAGGTGCCGCCTTTTAGATGCCGCATAAGGTCACTCCATTACCCAGCCGTCCGAATGAATGCTCCTTGGAGGCGGCTTCACACGCCTACAAGCTCGGGAGGGCCCCGAAGTGTCCAAACAGCCAGCTGTTTGCCCCGTCTGAACCAGCGTGATCCAGCAGTCTTAGCTGTTGGCGGTTTAGAAGTGCGCAGGTCTTGGATCACATGCGATCTGGCGGCCCGGGCTTTTGGCTGAGCCAAGTGCGCATCCGTTGAATCAACTACGGCCGACAAAGTCCGCGAAAAGCCAGGCACAGTTAAGCTAATGGTGGTTGCTTGGGGCAGAACATGTTGCAAACTGCTAGATCGGCAAACGCAAGAACGCTTGTTGGGTATCAACATGTAGCAACATTTCAGGCTTCAACAGCAAACGCATGAAGTAGCAAGCCGCTACGGCAGTTTGGCATGCTGGGGCGCAGGCAAGAACTACATAGAGGAAGAGTTAACAAACACCACAAGTGGCCTTCCCCAGAAGGGGAGGGAGTGAGGGCAGGGAAGCAAGAAGGCAAGAAAGCGAGGAATCGGCCGCCGGCCGTACCCTCCGAGCCTGAGGTTGGTGCCGTGGTGCGGCTTCGGGAGGCCGACACTTTGGCGTGGCGCAGGTGCGGGCGACTGCGCTTTTACAGGGCGGAGCCCTGGTTTCGACATGTGGGGGTTGATCAAAAGGTCCCGCACATGGAATGACCATTGGGAAACCACCAAACACCTTGACTTTCCCCACAAAACGGGAATAGTTGCACATGGTCATTTGGGGGCAAACAATTATTGATCAACCCCAATGTAGCCGCAATTGCTTAGAAAACATCCTTTTGGTTGGTTCAACAATTTCGGCCCAAACCTACAACTAAGCCTTGTGATATCACAGTGGGCCATTGGGTGATTACGAAACCCACGCCGGGGATGGATGAAGCCAATCCCAACTGGTGCAAGAGTTTGTCCATCTACAGTATCCTTTCGCATGTGCAGGGGCCTGAAAGGCATCCTTTGGACTACTTGGAATGCAAAGCAACCACTGGCTAGAGCCAGACAGTTGAGACTTGAGCTGCGGCTCTGATCCTATGGATGCCTGTGCCCCCCCCGAGAGACGGTGGCCAACGCCAACACCTACTCCACGTTACCAACGATCGCTGTTCCGGATTGACCATCGAACTAGGTGGCTGACCATGCAACCTTAACTTGAATCAAATGGTGCCATGTGCCATGTGCCAAGCAGGGCATTTCGGAAATGAGCATCATCACATGAGTCTTTCCGCAAGAACCAGATTCCTAGACGTGTCGCTGTTGTCTTACAGACTGTCTACAACAGGCCGGTGAGCCGGAGAGACCATATGAGGTGTAGCCACAATATCCGGTGGTCTATGTTCCGCTTGGAACGGACATGGGGGAGCTCTTTAGATTTGCGTGCAAACTCACTTTCTTGATCCATGGCCTCTTTGGGTACGCTTCATATTCAAGGATGTGCATGTGTGGCTTTTTGGAAGCAGATCGGAGCTTTCTGTCACGCTTCAGCTGGTGCGACCAGGCACACTGCACTCCCTTGGGTCAAACCAGGAGAGAGCTTTATGTGTTACGGGTCACATTTTTGAGGGCCTTTGCTCATGCAGGAAAGCTTTGGTGCAGAAGTTGATGCGCAGTTGAATGGCCACCAACATGTTTGAGTCCATAAATGACTATCAGCAGCAACCAGTGATGCATACCAAGTTTTTTTTCAACTGACAAAAAGCAGGACGGTGTGCACAGCTTCGATAGCAACCTTGGGCGCACCTTTCTTGGAGTTCCCTGCTGGTGCAGCGAGCAATCATCCTTCACCTGACTTTTCTCCCTGCCAGTGGCTGGGGCTCATTCTCGTTTATGTACCGAGTCTTTGGCTCAACAGACGCCCTCGGTCGAGCCGAGAGCGAGCCATAGGCGGCATGAAGGAGCCGAATTTGCCGGGGAGTTGGGTTGGCCCCAAAGTTTTTTGCGATGATGCAAGGGCCTTTCCGTTGATGTTATGTGCAGAGGCTAAAATTGGACGGATTGTTGGGTTCTTCGTCCTTGCTTTTGCCACCAAGCTCCCAGAAACAAGCACGGAACTTGAAAGAGGGTCCCTGAAAGATGGGCTTGGGGCCTCTTCGGCTCCATTGTGGGTGGATTTCTCGGCTTTCTTTTCAGACCAACCGGGAGGGGGTGCCAACTCAAAAAACGGCGCACCCATTTCCCCCAACTCTTTGACTGGTAAGCAAGACATGGGTAATTGGCCGTGTTGAGGAATCGGAAGGGGACCTGTAGACAATTGGCAACCGAGTTGCCCACTGATTTCTTTGGCTTACTTTCTGCTTCTGTCTATTTTCATTGTTATTTTGGCTCCTTTTGGGTTCCTCCCGTTCGTCCAAGGTAGTCAACCAGTGTCCAAGTGATTTTTGTCGGGTTCTGGATTTACGTTTTGGGTGTTGCCGCCTGGCACCTTCAGGCTTGGCGCACCCAGGTGAAACCGCCCATGATGGTTGTTCAGGGATGGGCCAACCTGCTGTTCAAGACATGTCTAAACACATGGGTATATTCTGGTCGATTCTTTTTCGAGGGTGCCCGCTTTGGGTGGTGTCAAAGGTATACCACCCATTTTGAGGGTTTCCCTATTTTGAAGCATACCCACTTGTTGTGTGAATGTTTTCCCTTGAAAGTCTGGCGCAAACAAATTTAGAGACCCAACTACCCAACCCTGGGTTCTGCAGGAGGGCTTGCTGCCGTCCTCGGACCCGTCGCTGGGCACACTGATATGGAACTTTCTGGCGCTAACCTCAGTTCAAAAGGTTCTAGAGTTGTGCCCAGGTCGCGAGCCTTTCAACATGCGGGTCTTATGCCATTTGGAGGAGTTGGTCTTACGAAACCGCGAACCATTGGCGTTGTATGTTTTTTTTTTCTCGTCTTTTTTTTGGAGGGGGGTGGGGGGGGTGGTATGGCTTTGAACTCAAAGGGTCTTGGCCCGCCTGTGAGATGCGTCTCGAAAAGGGCGCAGGTGCAAGCCACCCTCGGAACAAGCGACATTTAATCCTGCGCTTCAGAGTACAACAGCAAAAGAAGCTGCCTGTCCTTTCGGTTCTGCATGCTGAACGTTTGAACTGCCCAACGAGCTTGTCATTCAAGGCACCCGACGGTTGTCCTTGCCAGATTGGCTTGACAGTGATTGAAGCCCCACAACTTCTTGATGCCTGACGTCGTGTGCTGCCACGCTCTTCAAAAGTGCTTGACTACTTGTGCGCGTGCAGCTGCGTGCAGCTGCGTGCAGCTGCGTGCAGCTGCGTGCATCAGAGGCATGTGTGTGTGTGTGGGTTTTACGCTGGCCCAACGCTACAACCCACTGCGCGAGCGCCTGCAGACAGCGCTTCAGATTGTGTGCGCCGTGCTGCTTTTGAACACACTTCCCACAGCCTTAAGAACAAGGGTCCAGAAAAAGACTCACATTGTGATTCCATTGTCCCATCGTGGGTGGTTCGGTCCGTTGCGCCTCAGGTGTTGGGTGCCACAGCCTTCGGGGGCCCGCCAGTGCACATCGGCATGTTCCGGGCGCGGTTTGTGGAGCAGCCGGGGTGCCCGGTTTGGGGGCTGAACCTTTGGGCACCTGGTGGCTTGGCTGCCTGGCCGGCAGATTGTATGTAGATTCAACTCCAAGGGCCAGCCCAAGCAAAACTCCAGTCCAAATCCACAACTGAAGTCAAAGGCAGCTGAGTTGAACCGCTCTGCGGTAGGCCGTGACGCTTGATTTGGGGCCCCATTGACACTTGTTGAATGGGAGGCCCCTTTTGTGACAAGCTGAACATAGGAGCTTCCTCGTGCTGTTCCTTTTGCCGTTGCAGCGTGATTGCTCGTGGGCTTGATTGAGTTTGCCACGGCACGCAGTCCCTTGCACAGCAACTATGAAGGAACTACTTCCTTTGAGGCTGGTAGACTGGAGCCCACGCCAGGTAGGAGCTGCAGAGGCCAAGACGGCTACTAGCTTCCTAAAACGCTCCAAGCCAATTCCCACTTGTTCAGCAACACCATGTGTCGATCTCAAAACCTTTTGCTAGAGCCACTGAACACCTGAATCAGAGCACCCTGAGGCTTATGGAGGACCCAGGACTAAACCACACTGTACCCCAACTTGCTTTAAACAGGGCCTATTTGGGGTGTGAGTTGGCACCTGCGAGGGGACAAAACCATGGGCGGGTTTGGTCTTTCAGAATGGTCAACCCAGCAAAAAGTCTCCATGGAAACTTCAGGGCAAGCTGACCCCCCAGCCCCAACCCCCCCCCCCCCCACGCCCGTCCAGCGTTGTCGCAGCGAGGTATGGGTGGCTGTCCAGCGAGCGCTTCGCTGAGCTCTTCGCCATGGCCAACTGCCTGCCTGGACCATCCAGCACCCAGGCGGGGTCCCAGACCTGGTTTGGCATTAGTAACCCTGAAAATGGAGGGGTTCCGCTTGGTTTGCCCAAGCGAGCCCAAAAAAACACCCTCAAAAAACAGACACCTGGAGGTCAATGCATGTCACATTTCAGAGATAACTTTAGGAAAGCGAAGCAAACCTGTTTTTTGCCAGCTGAAAGCTATGCGGTCGATAGGCCCAAGTAAGCTCCAGAGCGGGTCAGAGCGGCTCTGGGGGTTTTCGCGTGCCAGAAGCGTGCCAAGAAACTGCTGTTGGGGATGCCACCTTGGCATTTCCTTTGGGGGGAGATGTCCCTTTCAATTCACAAAGCTTAGATGGGGCTGTCCTTTCTTTGGCGCTGGAAACCCGCTTTTATATGACGGCACACCCAAAATTGTAGCCACAGAGGTCTTCTGGTATGTGAGCAACTGACAACATTAGGAGTCTACAGGTAGTTTGGGGAGATGAGAAGGGGACACCCAAAGTACCCACAAAACCAGAAAGTCCACCCAATTACCGAGCCCGTTTGCTCTTGGACAAACAATATTGTTCAGGGCTCATATGTCCCAATTGGAAAGGATAAAACTTGTCATGGCCCTTCATAGGTGTTTTCTTTGAACGGTGCAGGGCTTGGCACATACTGGAGGAAGATGGAAGAAGGTCCTGAAAGGAGATAAGGGGAGGCTTTGCGAGCTTACCACAGTGTTGCAAGGCTTCTGCCTTGGGAGGGACTTGGTTTGTTTGATTCTTCGAATGGCGGCCAGAAAGTGTTGTGCCTTCTAGCCATTACCCATTTCCCCATCCAGTGGTGGCCAGGCGGGATTGTCAGGGGGTTGAGGGGAGTTGAGGCTTTAAGAGTTGGGAGCCGAAGCTCGTCGCAGCGGGACATAAAATCAGGTGGCCCTTGGTTGGTGATGTTGGTGGTTTGGATTGGTCAACCCCAGTGCCTTTTGACACCAAAAGCGGAAGATACCCCCCAGCATCCAAACCAAGAAAACAAGCCACCAATTAGAGGGAAGCTGATGCATGCCACATCCCTCTTAGGGACCAGGCTCGTCATTTATGGCAAGAAACCTGCAAAGAGCCTTCCGTCCAAGCGTTTTAAATGGAATGACCGAGATCCATGGATTTTGAAGGATGTCACATACCCAGGTCCGGATTGTTTGTTGGGATCGAAGTTCCAACGAGCGCCACACCCGGATGCTGATTGAGTCGCCCGAAACCCGCCATGGCACCTGCCAGGTGGCCTTTGCAATCGGCATGACTCAAGGCACGCAGTCGCTCAGGTCTGACACAGTCCAGCCCTTCCCTTTGTCCAGTGGGAATTTGGGGGTTGGTTCAGCCCCACTTCTGTAATAGGTTCCCTTCCCTTTTGGAGAATGAAGTCGTCATTTGAAGGTTGTTGTCTCTTGTCATGTGGCGCGTGACATGCAGCAGGGAGCGGGGAATGGGTTGAACACCAGGCGGAGTGCAAGGCGGGTTGCTGACGGGCTTTAGCTTCATTCTGCCTGGCGCGCATCTTGGCAAGTTTTTGTTTGAGGAGTCTGCTTGAATTTTCGACATCGCGAGTCTCGGCTGTACTGATTTTTGGGGCACAGGACCTGTGGGGAATCCCTTGTTCATATCTATGATGAGTACTCAACATTGCAGCTTGGCAGTGCAGCTAAGGATCATGCTTTCTCTGCTGGGCTTTGCCGCGGGCTTACTACACAGGCCATTTGTCCTGGAAGAAAAATCGCCAGGGCTTTTCTCTTGTGGAAGTCAACCACGGGCTGATGAAAACAAAATCGACCCTGGAAAACGAAATAGGCGCCGCCGCAGTGGCCGTCCGTTCGTTCTACGGCCATCGCCGACGCCCGACTCCCGGTCCGAGGTGTCCTCGTCCTTGGCGGAGCAAATCGAAGAGCCGGCCTCGCCGGCTAACG